TCCACTCACACATCTGAAGCATCTCATGAAAGCCCAGCAAACCTAATGGTCTCTTCCTGACCTCAACCCATCACCATCTATAGCCTTTATGCTCTACAGCCATGGCTTGTGCCCTTCCTAATGCTGAGACCCTTTAAGTTCCTCATGTGTGGTGACCCCCAACCACAAAATTTTTCACTGCTACTTCAGAACTGTAATTTTGCTACTGTCATGAACTGTAATGTAGATGTCTGATGTGAACCACAGGCTGAAAACTGCTGGTCTAGAGCAACACTCAGTCAGCCTCTGAGTTCTCCGTCACACCAACAACAGGTACTTCTCACTGCCTCAAACACACAGCCCTGTGTTCTCAACAGATACAACCCCACCCAGAAGGCTGTCCTCTTAAGTCACAAGCCACCCCAGCTGCCTCTGAACTAGACTTGATCCTAGTGAATGCTGACATAAAAGCCGCAGGTGTTGCTGAGTGGAGACCTCCCTCAAACCATGCTCACCTTTGCTCAGGGTCCTCTTCAGGAAGATCAGAACCTAGAAGGAAAGAGACAGAGACTGTGCATCCTGTGTATCACATCCAAAGGCCATCCTATGGCTAGGAACAAGGCCAGTGACCTATTAGGAATCACTAATGTGGAATAATCCTTTCGTACACTGTGAAGATGTGTTGCTATTGTTGTTAATAAAGAGCTGACTGGCCAATAGCTAGGCAGGAAGAGGTTAAGGAGGGAGAGGCAATCTGAGAGGATGTTGGGATAGCCAGCTAGACACAGAAGAAGCAGGCTATAAACATGATGTGCTGAAAAAAGGTACCACCATGTGGTAGAGCATAGATAAGAAATGTGGGTTAGCTTAAGATGTAAGAACTAGTTAGTAACAAGCTTAAGCTATTGGCTGAGCGTTTATAATTAATAGGTCTCTGTGTGGCTATTTGGGAGCTGACTGGTGGGACAGAGAAAGTCTGTCAACAAATCACTGCAAGAGTGCACCCTCTCTGTGGGGCGGGGGGGGGGGGGGGGGGG